GTCACATTCAACGACACATCACCATGACACTACACACCAATATGAAGGCTTCGATCGCAAACAAAACACTTGGGAATATATACAGATTCAGAACCGCATCAATCAAAACCAAAACACACCTATTCAAAGCCCTCATACTCCCTATTGACTTATGCACCTAACACACTCCAGCTAGCACCACCATCAAACGCCAAGTGAAGAAAACAAATTAAGGAGATAGTAGTGACTAGTAACGATGTTAGTAAGCAAATAGACAAACTAAAGCCCAATAAGTCACCTGGTCCCGACGAGATATTTGCCAGAGTATTAAAGGAATGTAAGGAAGAGCTTAGTATGCCCTAGCAAAGTTGTTTAATATGTCCATAAAACAGGTGTAGTACCAGAATCCTGGAGGATAGCGAATGGCTACCGATTTTCAAGAAGGGGGATAGATCACTATCCTCTAACTACCGCCAATCAGTCTAACATCAATAGTAGGCAAATTACTGGAAGCAATCATTTCAAACTCTATTCGAAATCACCTGGAGAAGCACCGATTGATCAATGATTCCCAGCATGGCTTCGCTGCGACGTTCTTGCCTAAAATCTATTAACATTCTTTTCATCAGTTTTCGAATCAGTGGACGAGGCACAATTATGATGTGGTATATCTCGACTTCAGCAAAGCCTTCGACAGAGTTCCCCACGAAAGACTAATTAGAAAGGTAGAAGCTCATGGCATCAAAGGTGACATCCTTAAATGGATTAGGGCGTGGTTACAGGACAGGAAACAGAAAGTGAGCATTAACGGCACTAAGTCCCATTGGAGCAACGTCACAAGTGGAGTTCCCCAAGACTCAGTACTTGGACCATTGTTATTTATTATATACATAAACGACATAGATATCGGCATTGACAGCAACATAAGTAAATTTGCTGATGACACTAAAATAGGGCGTGTTATCAAATCTGACGAGGACTCGGCAAAACTACAGGAAGATCTAAACAAATTTTTCGAATGGTCTGAAAATGGCAGATGAAATTCAATGTCGACAAATGTAAAGTACTCAGTATAGGAGATGTAAACAGGAAACCAGATACCAGATGAACAACGATGCCATAGAGAAATCCGACTGCGAGAGAGATTTAGGAGTAATGATAAGTAGGAACCTTAAGCCAAGTAAACAATGTGTTTTTGCTCGTAACAAGGCTAATAAAGTACTTACAAAGGAGTGTTAGTTACAAGACTAGCGAGGTCATCCTAAAACTGTATCTTGCTCTTGTGAGACCACACCTGGATTACGCAGTTCAGTTCTGGTCACCGTATTACAGAATGGATATAGAATCCTTGGAAAGAATTCAGAGGAGAATGACAAGACTAATCCCGGGCATTAGGAACCTTGAGTATAGAGACAGGTTAAAGCATCTTAATTTGCACTCCCTCGAGAGACGTAGAGCGAGGGGCGACCTGATAGAGGTGTATAAGTGGAAGGACAGGGCTAAACAAAGGGGACATTACGAAGGTACTCAAATTATCCAACCAGGAGCGAACTCGCAACAATGGTTTTAAATTAGACAAATTTAGATTTAGGCGTGAAATAGGTAAACACTGGTTTGGAAACAGAGTAGTGGATGAATGGAACAAGTTACCAAATATCATCATTAACTCGAATACGCTGAATTGCTTCAAACATAGGTTGGATGCTCATATGAGCAATAGGGGTTGGGTGTAAACGGGACTGCCCAGTATGGGCCAATAGGCCGCTGCAGTTTCCTCCATTCTTATGTTCTTATGTTCTTATAAAAGTTAGCAAAGGGAGTATGAATGTTGTCCACATAATAAAGAAGATTGGATGCAATGACGTTTTAGTGGTTTATCCCAATATTATATGAAATCACATTTAAGATATCAGCATTCACAGACTGAGGACACATTACTAAACACGATAATATGTCGATAGTATGTCGGTGCACCTCTCAGAGAATAGAACCCCCACCCCTCCCTCTCCTTGCGTCACATTTCGCCACACTGCCACCGACTAGCAGCTAGCAGGTTGGCACCAATGACATTCTAATTTGTAACCTGTATTAAAACTGGAACAATGTATGAAATTCTTGCATTCAGAGAGAGAAATGGAATGTTTATTTAGCACCCTTAGTCTGGCTACTATTGCGAGGTTACTTAGGGCCATTCTGGGAGTCTCCCCCTAACTTGCGAGTGCTTCGGAATCGTGCTTCGATACTCAATGGGTTCACACATAGTGGAGAGAGAGGATTGGCAACACGAGCTGTACCAGGTGGAAGTGTGGGCAACTGTACAGTTGCCTACCATTTATAACGGGTACAGTGGTTGGTGTGTTTTGTGAGACGTGACACGGCTATTTGTTTACATCGTACTAAAACTAGTAGAATGGGCAGAACTACTCTTGATATGGTAACCAGACCAAGGATACTAAAAAAGCAGTCCCCTCTATCTCTGAATGCACACATTACATATATGGTTATAGTTTTAATATAGATTACCAAGTAGAACGTCATTGGCTCCTATGTGTTGTCTGGTGGACTATGGTGCTGTATCTCACAAAACACACCAGCGATTGTACCCGTTATAAATGGAGACAACTGTACAAGTGTTGCAGGTAGTACTTCCCAGCAAAGTAGGTAGAACGGTCAAGAGTGCAATATATCCAACATGATTTTATAATTACACACTTTGACCTCTCTTTGGCTTTCATTTTTGTTATCTTGATTCTTTGACACAGGTGATCGTGGGGAGCCTGGTGTGGGGGAACAGGGCCCACCTGGTACCCCTGGGGGTCTTTCCGACGAGGACCGCCGGATTATTATTGATCAGGTGAGTGTGTGTGAAGCAGGTATAGTACTGGTGAGTATGTGAAGCAGGTGTAGTACTGGAGAGTGTGTGAAGCAGGTGTATTTCTGGTGAGTGTGTGAAGCAGGTGTAGTACTGGAGAGTGTGTGAGGCAGGTGTAGTTCTGATGGGTGTGTGAGGCAGGTGTAGTTCTGATGGGTGTGCGAGGTAGGTGTAGTTCTGATGGTGTGAGAGGCAGGTGTAGTTCTGAAGGTGTGAGAGGTAGGTGTAGTTCTGATGGTGTGAGAGGCAGGTGTAGTTCTGAAGGTGTGAGAGGCAGGTGTAGTTCTGATGGTGTGAGAGGTAGGTGTAGTTCTGATGGTGTGAGGCAGGTGTAGTTCTGATGGTGTGAGAGACAGGTGTAGGTCTGATGGTGTGAGAGGTGTAGTTCTGATGGTGTGAGAGGCAGGTGTAGTTCTGATGGTGTGAGAGGCAGGTGTAGTTCTGATGGTGTGAGGCAGGTGTAGTTCTGATGGTGTGGTGTAGTTCTGATGGTGTGAGAGGCAGGTGTAGTTCTGATGGTGTGAGGCAGGTGTAGTTCTGATGGTGTGAGGTGTGGTTCTGATGGTGAGTTGTGAGAGGCAGGTGTAGTTCTGATGGTGTGAGAGGCAGGTGTAATTCTGATGGTGTGAGAGGCAGGTGTAGTTCTGATGGTGTGAGAGGCAGGTGTAGTTCTGATGGTGTGAGAGGCAGGTGTAGTTCTGATGGTGTGAGAGGCAGGAGTCTCATAATTGCTTTATTAAATATTTTGTACAAAATTAACAGTATATTTGGGTGTAAGATTTGCATCAAAATGTTGTAAGAAAAAAAAATATTCTAAATAATGTTTCGTGTTATATTTCTTTGAAGCTAAGAAATTTACATCTAGATAATATCCTGTAGTAACTGGCCTGGTTTTCCTTCAAACATTCTTGTATACATATGAAGCACATATACTCGTACATACATCCTCGACATACACCACACGTGTACACAGACATGTACACATACACACACATCTACAATTACAGTAATATATGCGTGTATGCTTACGCATATGTTCCAATGAAGACATACACAAGTCAATGTGTAAACATATTGCTACATATCAGTATTTGCCATCAGTTGATCGACACGTTGGACGGGAGGTTTAAGGGAGGCGAGGCTACTGGCGGCAGCGGAATCAGCATCTGGGACAACTCTGGAGGTCTACCCTGGCAGGAAGGTAGGGCCTCCCAACTACCTGGTTCAACACTGTGGACACTGCACCTGGTGACAATGTCCTCATGACTGTCTCGGTGACTCTTTAATTGACTGTGTTTTAGATATTGGATTTTGTTGACTTGGTCCCAGTGACTGGATTGTCTTGACTCGGTCCTCGTGGCTGAGGCCAGGTGATAAACTCCTGATGGCTGGGTATTGGTGATGGGATACTGTTAAGTGGTTCTGGTGAGTGGCATCCAGTAATTGGGTCCTAAAAACAATGTTCACATGACCTGGGTTCTCTTGGTAGAGTCAAGGTGACTGGGTCAAACTGCTCTTGGCACTTGTGCTTTATTAGGGTAGCTATCATGCATATACTCTCTGTCATATATATATATATATATATATATATATATATATATATATATATATATATATATATATATATATATATATATATATATATATATATATATATATATATATATATATATATATATATAGTATATATATATATAGTATATGTGTGTGTGTGTGTGTGTGTGTGTGTGTGTGTGTGTGTGTGTGTTCACTGCAAGCATCTAGTTCTATGTGTTATTTTATTGTTCATTCATACGCTTTTTCCGTAGGTATATAGTACACATAGTGGATTTGTTTAAGTGTGTGAATGCTTATGTATGAATGCAAAACACGATTAATTCTCCACTAATTATTATTACTTTATGCTTTAGTTGACTGTTTATTACTGAATTCCTGTTTCTGTCCAATATATTATTTGTATAATATTTGTTTACCCTCATTGCTGTTGATATATGATCACTATTATCTCTGAACACAGTAGCAAAGTGTCTCTTTTCGCAGTTACTTTGGACCTTATTTTACAGTATATATTTATTATATTTTAATATATATTTAAAATTTATACTATTTATTCTACTATGTATATTTATAGCATTGCACTTTAATGCTTATATCAGTCTGCTCTTATGATGATCCTGTTCTTATATTTGCCTGAATATAAAATATCCATTTCACTCTCACAACTGGTAATGATAAATTCATTCTTGCATCGTCTCTGCTTTTTAGTACATTGGTTTTTTTTCATTGTTATTAGGTCTTGCTACAATCTGCAGTAAATGTGCTAGGTTGTTGTACCTCTTGAGGAATCCATTCATTGCAGCTTTACTATTGAAGCCTCATTGACTTGCACTATTACGCCGCATGACATAAATTTGTACTGCCTGGTTTTGTTCATAATGACGCTGCTTGTTGGTCTATGTCCCTCGTCAAAAGTGGTCCTCCCCGCCAGCACTCGACACTGCAGATGTAGGTGCCTACAGGTGTGTGGCAGATTTCAGGGACGACAGGTGTGTGTCTGTGTGTGTGTGGGGGGGGGGGATTTCAGTCATTATGTCTGTGGCAGATGTCAGGCACGGCAGGTGTAAGACAGGCATTAGGTACTACATGTGTATGTGGCAGATGTCAGGCACTACAGACGTGTGACAGGTTTCAGCCACTACATGTATGTGACAGGTATCAGGCACTACAGGTGTGTAGCAGATATTGGGCACTACAGGTGCATGAAAGGCGGCACTACAGGTATTTGGCAGATGTCAGTCACTACAGGTGTGTGGCAGATGCCAGGCTCTACAGATGTGTGGCAGATGTTAGGCACTACAGGTACATGACAGGCGGCATTAGAGGTGTGTGGCAGATGTTAGGCACTACAGGTGTGTGTCAGATGTCAGGCACTACAGAAGTGTGGCAGATGTCAGGCAATACAGGTTTCATGCACTACAGGTATGTGACAAGATTCAGGCACTACATGTGTGTGGCAGATGTTAGTCACTACAGGTGTATGAGAGGCGGCACTACAGGTGTGTGGCAGATGTCGGGCACTACAGACGTGTGACAGGTTTCAGGCACTACAGCTGTGTGGCAGATGTTAGGCACTACTGGTATATGACAGGTGACAATACAGGGATGTGGCAGGTGCCACTACAGATGTGTGACAGGTTTCAGACACTACAGGTGTGTGACAGGTGTCAGGCACTACAGACTTGTGTATTGCAGATTTAAGGTAGGCAGCTACAGGTGTAAGGCAAATGTCAGGCACTGCAAGTATATGACAGGTTTCAAGCACTAAAGAAGTGTGCATGGCAGGTGCCAGGTAGGCTACTACAGGTATGTGGTAAGTTTCAGGCACTACAGGTGTGTGTGTTTGTGTGTGTGTGTGTGTGTGTGTGTGTGTGTGTGTGTGTAATAATGATAATAATAATAATAATTATAATAATTAACGGTTTATTGAAAGAGCATGGCAGCCGGAAGGTTGAAAATATACAGTTCCATAATAATGGAATGGGTCACTTGATTGACAAATAATATACAAGTAACATAAGTGATGCAGATATGATATATAATAACTAGGTGGGGAGAAGGTTATACTACAGGGCATTTCAACATAGTGAAAGTGCAAAAAGGTGAGAGTGGGTGGGAGTGAATACACTGCTTGATTACGAACTGTTGAAAATTTTTTCAATGGCTGGGACTGGGCTGTTCTTATAGCGATCAGTACATGGTCGTATGGGCTGGAAGCAGTTGTGGTGTTGAACAGCAATTCGCGGACGAGGGATCTCGGGTGGACGTAGGAGCCGGTGTCGAAGATAGTTGCAGAAGCTTCTCACCAAATTTGTAGATGAATTCGCGGTGATGATCAGAGAGAACCGAGAGGTTCAGTGTGTTGAGCGCTTCTTGATATGTGGAGTAGGAAGGGGAGAGAATAATCTTGCATGCCCTCTTTTGCACTTTTTCTAGGTGTTTCCCTTGTGTGGCATTTAGGGAGGAAGACCAGGCAGGGGAGGCGTAGGTGAGCTTGGGAAGTATGAATGTTGAATAAACACTGAGGAGCTCGGGCGCAGGAACTGTACTGGCGTGTGTTTTCCAATTTAGTTTGTTATCTAGTGACGCCGGGGAGCTTAGTGTGGTCCACAATCTGGAGTGTGTTGGGGCCAAAAGTAATGTAGGGAGGTAGGACAAGGTCGGAGGTGGGGTTGATGTGCATAACCATGGTCTTGGTATGGTTGAAGGTTATGCTGTTGTTGGTGGCCCAATTTTGGAGACTGTTCAATAAATCCTGGAGGGCGGTGTAGTCGGGAGCCGAGTTGTTGACATTGATCCCAATGGTGGAGTCGACGACATATTTCCAGCAAGCAGGGGTTTCTCTTAGGGCATCATTGATAAACAACGAAACAGAGCAGTCCCATCTTGGTGCCTTGGGGGACGCCACAGGTGAGTGACTGAAAATTGGAGACTGCCCCTCGGAAGCATACGGCTTGGCGTTGGTCACTAAGGAAGTCTGTAAGCCATGGTATAAGACTTTTCCGAAACCCTATGTCGATAGCTTTGTTGATGATTAAATTGTAGTCAACTAGGTCAAATGCATTGGTGAAGTCAATGAAGGCGACAGCCACAGACGTCTTTCGTTTTTTGAGATGGCGGTATATGTAGTCGAGAAAATTGACAAGACAGTGAGTGGTGGAGGAAGTTCATAATGCTAAATTGCTGAGGATCTATGGCACCTGCAATATCAGCAAAGCCCAGTCAAATACGAAACTTTTGCAGATTAAGCTGGGTATTGGGTGATGGCAATGGATCATAGCTCATTTAAGGATTGTCCATGGGTACAGGTGACACATATGAGGTCTTCCAGTCAGCTGGGCATCTTGCTTAGCTGAGGGAATTATTGATGGTGGAGCAGAGGGGTTTAGCTAGTTCAGGGGAAAACTCTTCATACAGTTTCATTGGTAAGTCAAAAGGGGTGGTGGAGCGCCTTAGCTTCAGTTTTTCCAGATGCTTTGCCACTTCAAATTCTTCCACTAAGTCAGTGGGAAAGGAGGCTGGTAGGTAAGCAAGGAGACTGGTTGTGGCAGAACAACCCTCAGTCTTGGACCAAAGCTGATGCATTCCCCATAATAGTGGAAATATAAAGTGTGTGAAATGCAAAATATTGCCATTCAACACAGGATGCACGAATATTTCAATTCCACTAAAACAATGTGAGTCCCAACTTCTCATGGCATGGTCCCCCTACGCTCATCTGACGGTAACTTCCCAATTAAAGATGAAGAAGGCATCTGCCAGAGCTGGAAAGATCACTACCATTCACATGGGAGCAGTACTCCAAGTTTGGACGAATGAATCCCTAAGACCTGAAGCAACTTCTCAGGAGTGAAGTAGCTATGGCATCTGTACAACATTTCCAGCTTTCGGGAGGCAGCCTTAGCAATGTTGTGGATGTATGACTTCCATGACAAATTAGAGGAAATGGTGAGGCATAGCATATCTATTTGAGAATTTTGCAAAATGGTTGCATCCTAAAATGTGATTGGTGGGAGATCTTACTACTGAATTTGACCAAATTTCTACTTCCCCATTTGGAGATGCTGCACAGATCCACACTGTTAGATGATATTATATTCACTCTAGAAACATATCTAGTTTGAGAGTTAGGGGAAAGGAGAAAAATGAGAAGATTAATGAAGAGTAGAATCATCAGCATAAGATTGGATAGAAGTAATAGTAGTGTGAAGTAAATCATTGATAAAAAGAAGGAAGAGAGTAGGTGAAATAACAGATCCCTGCGGAACACCACTATTGGCAGAGAAAGAGTGAGAGATCGATCGCTCGACAACAACTGCCATGGATTGGTTCTCAAGAAAGCTAGAAATGAGAGAACAGATTGGAGGGGAGAACCCATAGGAGGGCAGTTTTGAAAGCAAAGACTTGTGCCATACTCTGCCATATGCTTTGGAGATGCCCAGGGCTACAACAAAGGTTTCCTCATAATCTCTAAGAGAGGATGACCAAAGATGGTTGCAGTAAAGGAGCAGATCACCAGCAGATCTCGCCTGGCGGAAACCATACTGGGGATCTGACAAAAGAGAAAGGCGTTCAAGGTGATGGAGAAAAGAGAGTTTAAAATAGTTTCGGAAATCTTAGAGGTGAATGAAGTTAGGGCAATGGGGCGATAATTAGAGGGATTAGAATAGTCACCCTTCTTCGGGATGGCCTGTACCAAGGCATGCTCCCAAAAAGAAGGAAAAGTTTGGGTTTTGGGGCAAAGGTGAAAGAGGCGAGCAACCACAGTGGCCAGAACTTCACTACACTCCTTCAGAGCACGAGGCGGTATTCCGTCTGGTCTATGCGCTTTACTCACATCCAGATTTGATAACAAATTAGCAACCTTATGATTAGAGATATAGGAAAGTGCATAGGTTCAGTGGGAGGAGCCGGTGGAGTTAGAGGAACAAAAGGCGCCAAAGACATTGGCTTTATCAGAGGGAGTGTTGACTCTAGAGTTATCAGGTCGGAAAAGAGGGAGTGCAAATATTATTACAGATGTGTTTGGTTAAGGACCAGAAAGATCTACAAGAGGAGGAGTTAGTCAGGTCAGCGTTTTTTCTTTGTTTTATAATAATTCCTAGAAGTAATGTAAGAGGAGTATCAGGAGGAGGAGATAGTTTCATAACTCGATACACCTTATCTCTCTCCCTACATGCAAGAGAACAGGAGCGATCAAACCCTGATTGAAAAGTAGAAGAAGGGATAAATGCACCGATACCACCCAGTATCCCCTGGCGATGTTATCAGCACATATCGAGGTGGCCAGAGTGGAAAGGCAACTTTCATCCTACGGAAAGTCGGAGAAGAATTCTCTCAATGATAGTCAGTGTGTCCTCCGACGGTATCACAGTTGGCGTTTAGAGGGGGTGGGGGAGGTGGTCGTACCCAGTTTGACTTAATAGAAATAAGATTGTGATCAGAAGACCCTAAATGGGTGGAAATTGAATATAAATAGTGCCAGGGGTTGGGGGTACAACAAAGATCAAGAATGTTAGCAAGATGACGGCTTACCAGCCGTCTCCACTCTCTCCTGAGGAATATGATTTTGGGAGAAGGAGGAAATTCCCCAAGATCTTAAAGACGTCTCCATCGTCAATATTTACAAGACTCAGGGAGACCGATCAAAGTATGGCAACTACCATGGGATCTCGCTGCCGTCCACAGTTGGCAAGATTATCGCCCAAGTCCTCCTAAACAGACTCTTTCCTGGGGCAGAAAACTTTTCCCAGAATCTCAATGCGGCTTTACACCTCTGACACCTCTGACATGTTGTTTGCTACCCGCCAGATACAATAAAAGTGTAAAGATCAGAGAAGCTCTCTGGCGGACCTTCAGTCGTTTTGGTTGCCCACCTAAATTCATCGACATTGTGAGGCAATACCGCGATGGCATGGACGGCAGTGTCCTGCACAATGGCACCCAGGTAGAGTTCTTCCCCGTCCAAACGGGCTAAAACAAAGATGTGTACTGGCACCAACGCTCTTCTCCATCTTTTTCGGTGCCTACCTTACTATTGCCAGTGTTAATTTAATCAGTGGGGTATACATCTAGTATCGAATGAAGGAACTTTTCAACTTGAAACGACTCCAGGATGGAACAAAGGTCTCGGCCGCTTCCATCACTGAACTTCAGTATGCAGCAGACGTCACCCTCATCGCTCACACTGAACGGGACCTACAGGAGATCATGAACGCTTACGCAGATGCGTATGCACACTTCGGCCTTGAGGTGAATGTACATAAGAGTCAGATTCTCTTCCACCCTACCCCTGGTTCAGCCACACCTTCACCATCCAACCAAGTTAACGGTACTACCCTCTTTAATGTTATCCATTTTCAGTATCTTGGCTCCCACCTGTCCACCACCGCAGACATCGATAAAGAGATTCAACATCGGATCAGATGTGCATATCAAACCCTTGGTTGACTCCGTACCCGTGTCTTTCTCTGTAGGGAGTTGAAATTATCTTCAAAGTTGCACGTATATCGATCAGTGGTCCTCCCCACCCAGCTGTTTGGCAGCGGGACATGGGTCACATACAGGAGGCACCTCAAGGTACTTAAAAATTTCCACCAACGTAGTCTACGTTCTATTTTGTGAGTTCCCTGGGAAGACAATAGAAGAAATACAAGTGTTCTCGCTTACACCAACTGTAGGCGTATTGAGGCTGCCATTATCCATGATTTTAATTTGATGCCTGAGAAGATACAAGTTCACCTGTACAAGGCGCTGGTGAGGCCTGTGTTGAAGTACCCATCTATACCACTCGTCACACTCGGGAAGACTAGACTACAACAACTACAGAGCTTCCAAAACAAGTGTTTGAGGTCAGCCAGTGGCCAAGCGCCACCCTACCAGGAGACAGTGGAAACCATCCACCTAAGAAATAAAACAGAGGCCCTCAACTTCAGGTTCCATCGCCTAGGGAAGAAGGTTTGGGACAAGCTCCTGGACGACCCTCACAGCCCAGACCACCTACGCGGGGAAGACATCAACGGAGGGAGACCCCACACCTGGTGGCCCCGGAGTCTGCCCGCACTACAACAACCCAACACGCGACCCATCTATGTCCGCCACAGTGATCACCTTAGATTAAAACTTAGATGATATAAATTCACATTCAACAAGTCACAATCAAGTGAGTCCATAACGTAATACAGTATAAGATGTTAATAAACTTGTAATTGTAAAATCAATCTAGTCGTTGTCTACTAAAATAACCATTGTGCAACCTCATTCTAAATCCTAGGTTAGCTTAGTTAGCCAACAAACTCTGTAATATGTTAAACAAGGGGTGTCGTCCCCCTCTGTTTAACTCATTAAACTTCTTTTCCAACCTTTTCCCCCACGACTATATGTTGTGACTTCTCCATCCCTCATGTCTGGCTGTGCCTTGAGCCCCAGCATGCCTTCCATCCTTTCCCCACCTTAACCTAAAAAAATAAAAAATAAATCCATGAACAACTATGTTGGACTGGCCATATTACGTACATGGACGACAGTAGGCTGCCAAAGCAGCTACTTTGCAGTCACCTAACGAATGGTAAGAGTAACGCTGGAGTGCAACGGAAAAGGTATAAGGATAGTCTCAAGACAAACCTGAAAAAAGTGCTAAATCGACGCCCTCACCTGGTAAACGATCACTCCACACGGTAACGCTTGGAGGAACACCACACAAAGTATCAATACTTTCGAGTCAGCCCGACTGCATATCGAGGCAGACAAGCGCCAGCGCTGGAAAGACGCTGCCGCTCCCCCTCCCGCACTAGATGTAGCCCTCCACACGTGCAACTTCTGTGAACGGCTCCGCCGGTTCCCTATCAGCTTCTCCAGTCACCTCAGAGCTCACCAACGAAGGTGACATCTTTAATAACTCATATAATTATGGCAAGGCTGGATGATCGGCATTCTCGATTCGGAGTGACAGTAAAGTAGTCTTAGTTATGTGTGTGTGTGTGTGCGACAGGTGTCAGGCACTCAAGGCGTGTGTGGTATATGTCAGGCACTACAAGTGTGTGACAGGAGTCAGGCACTACAGGTTTGTGTGTGACATGTCAGGCACTACAGGTGTGTGACAAGTGTCAGGCATTACAGGCATCTGTGACTGGTATCAGGCACCATAGGTGTATGACAGGTGTCCATCACTAGAAGCATGTGTGACAGGTGTCAGGAGCTTTAGGTGTGTGAGAGGTGTCAGGAACTTTAGGTGTTAGACAGGTGTCAGGAACTATAGTTGTGTGACAGGTGTCTGGCACTATAGGTGTGTGGCAGGTGTCAGGCACTTCAAGCATGTGTGGCAGATGTCAGGCACTATAGGTGTGTGACAGATGTCAGGCACTACATGTATGGGGCAGGTATCAGGCACTACAAGGGTGTGAGACAGCTGCCAGGCACTATAGATGTGTTGCAAGTGCAGCAGGTGTCGGGTGCTGGGGGTCCACTAACTGCAGGTAGTGAGGGAACACTTGGTGACTCACGCTTCTGTTTCCTCTTCTGATATACCCTCTTGCTCCACCTCACGCAGTGGGCGATGATGAGGATTTGAGCTTGGAGGGGTCTGGCCTGGTGGAGTACAAACCTTTCTATCCCAGTAAGTCCCGGTGGGGTTCGTCACTTCCAGTAAGTCCCGGTGTTGTTCGTCATTACCAGGAAGTCCCGGTGTGATTCGTCACTACCAGTAAGTCCCGGTATAGCTCGTCAATACCAGTAAGTCTCGGTATTGTTCGTCACTACCAGTAAGTCTCAGTATTGTTCGTCACTACCAGTAAGTCTTGGTATTGTTCGTCACTGCCAGTAAGTCTCGGTATTGTTCGTCACTACCAGTAAGTCTCGGTATTGTTCGTCACTACCAGTAAGTCTCAGTATTGTTCGTCACTACCAGTAAGTCTCGGTATTGTTCGTCACTGCCAGTAAGTCTCGGTATTGTTCGTCACTACCAGTAAGTCTCGGTTCGTCACTTGTTCGTCACTGCCAGTAAGTCTCAGTATTGTTCGTCACTACCAGTAAGTCTCGGTATGTTCGTCACTACCAGTAATTCTCGGTATTGTTCGTCACTGCCAGTAAGTCTCGGTATTGTTCGTCACTACCAGTAAGTCTCGGTATTGTTCGTCACTGCCAGTAAGTCTCAGTATTGTTCGTCACTACCAGTAAGTCTCGGTATTGTTCGTCACTACCAGTAAGTCTCGGTATTGTTCGTATTGTTGTCGTCACCAGTAAGTCCGGCAAGTCTCAGTTGTTCGTCATTAACAGTAAGAGCATTGTCTCACTACCAGTAAGTCTCAGTCCGTCACTACCAGTAAGTCTCGGTATTGTTCGTCACTGCCAGTAAGTGTCAGTATTGTTCGTCACTGCCAGTAAGTCTCGGTATTGTTCGTCACTACAAGTAAGTCTCGGTAGTGTTCGTCACTACCAGTAAGTCTCGGTAGTGTTCGTCACTGCCAGTAAGTCTCGGTATTGTTCGTCACTACAAGTAAGTCTCGGTAGTGTTCGTCACTACCAGTAAGTCTCGGTATTGTTCGTCACTACCAGTAAGTCTCGGTATTGTTCGTCACTACCAGTAAGTCTCGGTATTGTTCGTCACTACAAGTAAGTCTCGGTAGTGTTCGTCACTACCAGTAAGTCTCAGTATTGTTCGTCACTACCAGTAAGTCTCGGTATTGTTCGTCACTACCAGTAAGTCTCGGTATTGTTCGTCACTACCAGTAAGTTTCAGTGTGGTTCGTCACTACTTCATTGTGTACCTTGGCACTACCAATAATTACTATGTGGTTTACGTCTACAAGTGAGTACTAGTGTGGTTCTCATCTACCAGTAAATACCAGTGTGGTTCACGTTTACTAGTGTACAGTGTATAACCTATGTGGTTCATATATACTTACACTTGTGTTTATGAACCTATACTTCGCTTACTTCTACTGAGAATTACCAATATGTCACATTCGTGTAAATGTCTATAAGTGTAGCACATGTCCATAAGTGTAGCACATGTCTATGAGTGTTGCACATGTATATAAGTGTGGCACATGTCCATAAGTGTAGCACATGTCTATAAGTGTGGCACATGTCCATAAGTGTAGCACATGTCCATAAGTGTAGCACATGTCTATAAGTGTAGCACATGTCTATAGGTGTAGCACATGTCTATAAGTGTGGCACATGTATATAAGTGTGGCACATGTCTATAGGTGTAGCACATGTCCTTAAGTGTAACACTTGTCTATAAGTGTAGCACATGTCTATAAGTGTAGCACATGTCCATAAGTGTAGCACATGTCTATAAGTGTAGCACATGTCTATAGGTGTAGCACATGTCCATAAGTGTAACACATGTCTATAAGTGTAGCACATGTCTATAAGTGTAGCACATGTCTATAAGTGTAGCACATGTCCATAAGTGTAGCACATGTCTATAGGTGTAGCACATGTCTATAAGTGTAACACTTGTCTATAAGTGTAGCACATGTCCATAAGTGTAGCACATGTCTATAAGTGTAGCACATGTCCTTAAGTGTAGCACATGTCTATAGGTGTAGTACATGTCTATAAGTGTGGCACATGTCCATAAGTGTAGCACATGTCTATAAGTGTAGCACATGTCTATAAGTGTAGCACTTGTCTATAAGTGTAGCACATGTCCATAAGTGTAGCACATGTCCATAAGTGTAGCACATGTCTAAAGTGTAGCACATGTCTATAAGTGTAGCACTTGTCTATAAGTGTAGCACATGTCCATAAGTGTAGCACATGTCCATAAGTGTAGCACATGTCTATGAGTGTTGCAAATGTCCATAAGTGTAGCACATGTCTAGAAGTGTAGCACATGTCTATGAGTGTAGCACTTGTCTATAAGTGTAGCACATGTCCATAAGTGTAGCACATGTCCATAAGTGTAGCACATGTCTATGAGTGTTGCACATGTCCATGAGTGTAGCACATGTCTAGAAGTGTGGCACATGTCTATAAGTGTAGCACATGTCTATGGGTGTAGTACATGTCTATAAGTATGGCACATGTCTATAAGTGTGGCACATGTCTATAAGTGTAGCACATGTCTATGGGTGTAGTACATGTCTATAAGTATGGCCCATGTCTATAAGTGTGGCACATGTCTATAAGTGTAGCACATGTCTATAAGTGTGGCACATGTCTATAAGTGTAGCACATGTCTATAAGTGTAGCACATGTCTATGGGTGTAGCACATGTCTATAAGTATGGCACATGTCTATAAGTGTGGCACATGTCTATAAGTGTGGCACATGTCTATGGGTGTACATGTCTACATGTCTATGGGTGTAGCACATGTCTAGAAGTGTAGCACATGTCTATAAGTGTAGCACTTGTCTATAAGTGTAGCACATGTCCATAAGTGTAGCACATGTCCATAAGTGTAGCACATGTCTATGAGTGTTGCACATGTCCATGAGTGTAGCACATGTCTAGAAGTGTGGCACATGTCTATAAGTGTAGCACATGTCTATGGGTGTAGTACATGTCTATAAGTATGGCACATGTCTATAAATGTGGCACATGTCTATAAGTGTAGCACATGTCTATGGGTGTAGTACATGTCTATAAGTATGGCACATGTCTATAAGTGTGGCACATGTCTATATGTGTAGTACATGTCTATAAGTGTGGCACATGTCTATAAGTGTAGTACATGTCTATAAGTGTAGCACATGTCTATGGGTGTAGTACATGTCTATAAGTATGGCACATGTCTATAAGTGTGGCACATGTCTATATGTGTAGTACATGTCTATAAGTGTGGCACATGTCTGTAAGTGTAGTACATGTCTATAAGTGTAGCACATGTCTATGGGTGTAGTACATGTCTATTAGTATGGCACATGTCTATAAGTGTGGCACATGTCTATATGTGTAGTACATGTCTATAAGTGTAGCACATGTCTATAATTTTAGCCCATGTTTATAAGAGTAGCACGTGTCTATAAGTTTAGCACATGTCCATAAATATAGCACATGTCGATAAGTGCAGCACATGTCCATAAATGTAGCACTTGTCTTTAAGTGTGGCACATGTTTATAAGTGTAGCACATGTCCATAAGTGTAGCTCATGTCTATAAGTGTGGCACAATTCTATAAGTGAGGCCAATGTTTCCTCATCAGTAGTGATTCATTGTCTAATTTTTAAGCTTGTTTTAGTGTATTAATTTATCTCGTCAAAGATCCTTTATTATTCAATGAGTTTCCTTCAACAGTTAGGAACGTTTAATTAATTCCAATTTGTATATTATATCATCATAGACGTTTACCTTAAATTTATTTCGACTTTTTAAATGCCATGTAAACTTGAAGATTTTGGGACCCACAATATTGTATTTGGTGGCACGGGTAAAACATTCTAAGTGAAGATTATGTTATCTTCGCATATTATGTCAAGATGTGTGTATGTAGGCTATGTCTGGTCTAATAAATTCTTTAATTACTGAACCTTCAGAAAACTTTTATACTTAACCGGATATTGTTTTAGGAGTTTATTCTGTATAACTAATCTTAAACTACGATAAGTTAGATTAAATACGATTAACTCACAACTAATAAACAAACCTAGCCGAACAAATTAAAAAGGGTCCCGTAACACCGTTTTCTAGCAGATTACTTTAGTAATTTGTATATTGACGCCATGCATAAGAAATCTTTGCCAAACCAAACTTTCATAGTCCTTATAAAAGATTACTTCTTGGTCATATAATAAGAGCTAGTTTTGGGAAATATAGCGTTTCAACAAACTTTAACAGTTTCACAATCTTTCAACACAATATCATGCCTATATGTGTCAAGTGAACCACATGCATATTTGCATAAACATTTCTTTGATGAGATCAACTGAAAGAGCATCTTCATAATTATGCTTCCAAAATAATATTTATTTGTTCAATGTAAAAATACCGAATTTTACCGGACCACATCCCGCTAAAACTTATTTAGAACTAAAAAAAATGCTCTCCTAGGCGAAAAATACTGTTGTCTCTCAATAGAAATTGTCAAAGTAAGTTGTTAGCACTAATAAAGAAAAAGAGGAGTTATAAAAGACGAAAGTCACAAGAAATAAATATTTAAAACTGCAAGGTATCGGCTCAATAAGAAAGTCCAGATATACCTAATTTGATTAATTTTGTCCAGAAGACGACTGGGAGACTGTCAAGACACCTGGGGTATAGGAGCACACAGTACGTTTGTAAAAGAAATATTGATCTTTAAGCTGAAGCATATAAGAATATATGATTTCGTCCTGCTAGAACAGTTGTTGTATTATCATTAATTTATATGTTACTGCTGACAGCCGTTCAGATGTGCCATGGTTCATTAATGCATGAATTTTCTGTGACATTTTCAAACATATTATTTACGTTTATAATTCGAAGTCTATTCTTACTTTAAACCCTTAAGTGCACCGCTTCCTCTCTCTATGGCAGGGGACAAGTGGCCAACATTTGTGACTAACCGATAAACTCGCCTAGTACTGTACAACGAGTCCCAGCCTGCTTGTAAAACCGACACACTAAAAAACTCAAAGGAATACTGAATAGCTTTTAGCATGAACTCTACCAGTCACAGCGTAATGGAAGATCGGGAAGGACATTAGATTATATCATATCAAGAAACATTTATAGGGAAACTAATCTAAGAACATAAGAACATAAGAATAATAAGAAGTCTGCAATAGGCCGGAAGGCCTGTGCATGACAGCTCCTGTCAAGATTTTCTACTACTCTCCATCAACCGTGAATTTATCTAGCCTCCTTTTAAAACTTTCCAGCGTTCCAGCACTTACTACAAAATTGCTAAGCTTGTTCCATTCGTCTACCACCCTATTTGTGAACCAGTTCCTTCCCATCTCCCTCCTAAACGTAAACTTATCCAACTTAAATACGTTGCTACGAGTCCTATCCTGCTCGGATATTATAAGAAATTTATCCATATCTCTTTTATTGACTCCTTTTCACCCACTTAAATACTTCTATCATATCTCCCCGCACTGTTCGTCTTTCAAGAGAATGCAAGTTTAGTTTGTTTAATCTATCTTGATATGGAAGGTTTCTAAGTCCCGGAAACATTATCGTCATTCTTCGCTGCACCGACTCCAGTGAATTGATATCTATTCTATAATAAGGGCACCAGAACTGAACAGCATAATCGAGGTGCGGCCTGACGAGCGCAAGATATAGTTGCAATATGACCTCTGCAATTTTATTACTTACACTTCTAGATATAAAACCTATTACTTTGTTTGCCTTATTTCGAACATTAATGCGCTGTTCTCTAGGTCGTAGGTCCGGGCTTACAAGTACACCTAAATCTCTTTTACAAGACGACTTTTCTAGGTTGATGTTGTTAAGTCTATATACATTGACAGTATTTGTTCGTTAAATATTAAATACGCTGCACTTGCTGGTGTTGAATTTCAATTACCATTATTCTGACCACTCCTGCAGTTTTTTTTAAAATACTCCTGAAGTGTATTTGCATCCTGCCCTGAATTAATCTGCCGCCCTATTTTGGTGTCATCCGCAAACTTGCTTACGTCACTGCTGATCACAGTATGTAGATCGTGTATGTAGATTATGAACAAGAGTGGGCCCAGTACTGACCCCTGGGGAACCCCACTGGTTACACAGCCCCACTCAGATTTGACACGATCAACATTCTACATTGACCCTCTGTGTTCTATCGGTGAGCCATGATTTTATACAATTTAAAACTTTCGCCTAGATAACATGAGCCTTAACTTTTTTCAGAAGCCTCTGATGCAGTACTCTGCAAAACGCTTTGCTAAAATCTAAGTCAATAACATCGTAATTTCCGTCATTATCTACTACCTCGAAGACTTTCCTAAAAAACGTCAGCAGATTTGTTAGACAAGATTTTCCCTTTGTAAACCCATGTTAAGAGTCGTAGATTAATTTCTTTTTCTCTAAATGCAATCGGATGCTATTTGCTATAATTGATTCAAGAAATTTCCCCACTACTGGCGTCAAACTAATCGGCCGGTAATTGGACGCTGATGCTCTGTCTCCCTTTTTGAATATGGGTACTACATTTGCCTGTTTCCACAAGTCTAGCACAACTCCCGTGTCTAATGATTTTGTAAATAAATATAAGAGGCGTCCGCTAATCTGTTCCTTACACTCTTTCCAAACTCGAGACAAAATTTAATCAGGACCTGGGTATTTTGTCTTCTTTGATTTATTTATTTTCTTAAGAACATCCTCTTTTCTCATAGTGATATCGTTTAGTTTCTCTTCTTCATTTCCCCTAAATATCAGTTCCACCTCTGACTTTTCCTTGTGAATTTCTTCTGTGAAAACTGCTATGAAGCAGCTGACTTTAAATGGCCCCACTTTGTCCTTGACCTTTGTCCTATATACCTGGAAAAATCCCTTGGGATTCGCCTTGGATTCTCTTTCTATCCTGATTTTGTTGTTCCTCTTTGCCTTCCTTACATGTTTCTTAACATTCATAGATAGTTCATTATACCTATCTCTGAGATGCTCCTCCCCTCCCTTTAATTTCTTATAAATCCCTTTCTTTATTCCTATGTCATGTTTAAGTTTTTTGGTCATCCACCTTGGCTCATTTTTATTTGACCTAATTTTTCTCTATCGTATATTTTGTTCTTGTGTTTTATGTAGTATACTAGTGAATATATTATGGTCATGATCAATTGTTGTGTCGCCGGTGACCTCACCCATTCCTTCCGGGGACTGACTTGACTGTTCCCAGGCGACCTCACCTAGGTACTTTCTTAATCCCTCATAATCCGCTTATCGAAAGTATGGGACTCTGACCATATTGTCATTGTTATTCGTTTCCCAATTTAGGGTGAACCTGATTTCTCTGTGATCACTGTTCCCTAGTTCTTCCCCTAATGTGATATCTCTGATAAAATTGTCTTTATTTGTTAATACTAGGTCTAATATATTGTCACCTCTTGTAGGTTATGTAATTAGTTGTTTTAAAAAAATTTCCTGTACTGCATCTAGGAAGTCTTCAGATTCATAGTCACCTACAATGTTGTCCCAGTCAATATTTCTGAAGTTGAAATCCCCCATAATGCACAGGTTGTTGTATTTTGCTGCCCTACTCATTTCCTGCCATATGGGCTGAGCTGCTCCCGAGCCTGTAAATCACTCCCATAATTAGTTTTTCTCTTCCTTCCGCAATTTCTACCCATAGAGACTCGGTTCCTATTTCACCCTTTATTGTATTATTAATACAACATTTTAATGTATTCCTGACGAAGAGTGCGACCCCTCCCTCCTTCCTATCTTCTCTGTCCTTGAGAAAAAGGTTGTACCCTTCTACATTATGTGGTACTCTGATAAAAAGTTCTTGCTCACCAGATTCATCCAAGTTTCGGCGATTATTATGACGTTTGCATTCTAGGTAAATACAACCGCTCTCAGCAAGTCTATTATATTTCTAACGTTCCTACTGTTTGTATAGTATACATTTAAACCTACCCTTCCCTGGTCCTCTTTTACCCCTTGTCTTGAGTGACCAATTTTACTCCCCTGAATCTACTTGTTTCTTGACTCCCACTTACCCTGTCCTCTCTCTACTGGCGAATCCCCTTCCCCCATTTGGAGTGACAATTTCACGCTCCAGGGATGCAGACAACGTCTTTACCCCCGCGCGAGACAAGTGTACCCCGTCACGACTGTACACGTAGTCGTTGCCATAGGATGGTTGCCAGTTATCAATGAACGCCCAACCATTGCTTGCACAATGTTTTTCCAGTCGGCAATTTATAGCATTTGTCCTGGACAGCCATTCACTGCCAACTCCTCCTCTAGGCAAGACACCACAAACTATCGGGATCCCTCCCCTATCTCTAACCTTCCCTAGTTCTTCCCTATACCTTTTGAAAAGTTCCTCACTCCTAACCTTTCCTATGTCATTACCGCCTGCAATAAGACACTACTGGCTTGGTACCCTCCCCTGACAAAACCCTATCTATCCTCTCAGCTACATGCCCTATCCCAGCCCCAGGAAAATACACCCTAGTCCCACGTTTCCTATCTCTTGCACAAAAAGTCCTATCTATGAGCCTCACCTGGCTGTCCCCAACTACCACGACCTTACCACTGGGCAGGGTTTGAACAACTGCACCTTTCTCTCCTGGCACCACACCGTCCTGCCTATTCTCTTCCTCATCCTGCCTCTTCTCCTCCTCGCCAGCTTCCTCCAGTAAGAAAGGAAATATTACAGCCTGAGGATAAAAATGGAATATTTCAGTGTGAAGCATTAGGAATATGAACATTCTTAACCAGGTAACACATTCACCTTGAGATCTCTCTTAGATATCATTACACAAGATACAGTTAAGTGTATCGCTGCCACGTGCATTCTTTTTTGTTTAAAAAAATATATTATTTATTTGTAATCAACAGGCATTTTTCGTCTATTTTTATAAGCAGAAATAGATTTTATCTAATTATTTTATTACTAAGTAGCTTGCTTAAGAAATAGTAAAGATGCAAAGCTTTACGTGCTTAATGTGAGAACCTTACCCTCCCCCACCATTATGACTTCAATCATTGCTAACCCTCATGCCATCCTTGCCTCTGTCACCCTTTTTTGTTGTGTGCTAACCCTTGGCCTGGATGCTTACAGAGGGTGGTTCTGGACTGCGAGGACCAACGGGGCCCATGGGCCCTTCAGGACCCCCTGGACCACCAGGGTTAATGGGAATAGCAGGATTCGCAGGAAAAAAAGGAGAAGTGGGACCCCCAGGACTGCCGGGAAACGAAGGTCCATCTGGGCTTCAGGTATTAAATAAATTTCATTCCGTTAATGAATTGTCATGTTGTGTAATGTAAACTAACTTAATCGAATTTTAACCTATCCAAACCTATTTTATCCTATCTTTACCTAACCTAAAATTAGATTGGTTAGGTTAGACAAAACCAGTTTTGATTAGGTTAAGTTAGGCATCCTAATGAAGCCTACCTAGCCTAACCTGACCACGACTAACTAAACTAATCTAATGTTCAGTTAAGTTATGGTAGGCTAGGCTTGATGAAGACAGTATATAATTGGTTTTGCTAAGTTAGATTAGATTAAAATTTTTGTATTACACAAGTTGACGAGTCATTAAACACACACACATATATATATATATATATATATATATATATATATATATATATATATATATATATATATATATATCAACGCCCTCACCAGCCAGGAATCGAACCCTCGACCTACTGGGTGGGACTAGGGAACGCTACCGACCAACCCACAAGGACACAGTGTCCTTGTGGGTTGGTTGGTAGCGTTCCCTAGTCCCACCCAGTAGGTCGAGGGTTCAATTCCTGGCTGGTGAGGTCGTTGATTATATGTTCAAAGTCAGCGTGTTATATGGACTAAAAATGAAGTAAACAGTATATATATTTGTTTATATTTTTATATTTTTTAATTTTTATGGGATTAGCCCACCAGGGCACAGGTCACTGACCCACATCAGGGCTTGGGGGACGAAAATGTAATAATATGAGAATAATAATGATAATAATAATTCAGATAAGTAAAATTTATAATAAAAAATGCAAAAATAAAAATATATGAATAATAATGACAACAATAATAATAATAATAACAATAATAACAACACTGCAATTATAATAATGAAAAATAATACTAATAATACTAATAATAATAGCAATAATAATAATAATAATAATAATAAAAATAATAGTAATAATAATAATAATAATAATAATAATAATAATAATAATAATAAATCATAAAGAAATAAAAAAAAAGATCAAGGGTGAGAAACAATATATGTATGTTGTGTTGTCAATGGTAAGAGAAACAACTGAAACCCTGCAATTGTGTGTAAATGAGGCAGAAAGTCAGATCAGCAACCTGGGACTTGATCACAAGTTTTGTGATGCTATATGGCAGCAGGGTCTACCAATATCTTCCCAGACGGTAGTACCTCCCTGTTTGGTAGCTGCCTACTACCTACTACCTACTACTGCAGATTTTATCATTACATATATATATATATATATATGCTGACAACCACAAGGAAAGAAGAAAACACGAAGTTCCCAAGCGCTTTCGTGTAATTATCCTCTTCAGGGGTGAGTACAGACTAAGGGGAAGTACAAAACAAGGTGTATATATACAGAGGAGGGTGAGATCAGGTCCACAATGGTCAGGTATTAGGTAATGACCCTTATAATCTTTAAATAGCACAGCAACGGTCGGTATTCAGGTCAGAGGGTAAGGTGACCCAACCTTCTCACCTGGTTACAAATCTTCTTAATTACAAAATTGTCCAGTTTGTACATGCCATTACTCAAATTCATGTTGAATGTTTCGGTATGTTTAATGAGACTAGATTCTATGATGTTCCTACTATCAATTGAATTACAAGGTAATATTGAGGAGGCATTAACCCAGTCAATGCAATGCTTGTTATCCCTCAAATGAACAAACAGAGCATAGGATTCCTGGCCTGTCCTAACATTATATTTATGTTGTTTAAGTCTAGTTACAAGATCTTTACCTGTCTGGCCTAAGTAAAACATATTACATTCCTTGCAAGGAACTTTATAAATGCAACCAATTGTGTTGTTGGGGGAGTTCTTGATTAACATTTGTTTAACAGTGCATGAGTTTTTAAATGCCACATTGACGTTCCAGGTTTTTAGTTGTAAAGGAATTCGAGAGAATTTTTTGTGAAATGGCAATATTAAGATATTCTTATGGTCATGGGTGGGCTTGGGATCAGTTTTATAAAAAGATTTCTTAGTAATGTTAAGGCATTGATAGTAGGAACATCATAGAATCTAGTCTCATTAAACATACCGAAGCATTCAACATGAATTTGAGTAATGGCATGTACAAACTGGACAATTTTGTAATTAAGAAGATTTGTAGCCAGGTGAGAAGGTTGGGTCACCTTACCCTCTGACCTTGTTTTGTACTTCTCCTTAGTCTGTACTCACCCCTGAAGATGTGAATTACACGAAAGCGCTTGGGAACTTCGTGTTTTCTTCTTTCCTTGTGGTTATCAGCATATACCTAGATCACGCGCACCTACAGTGATTTACTTGCAGATATATATATATATATATATATATATATATATATATATATATATATATATATATATATATATATATATATATATATATATATATATATATATATATATATATATATATATATATCGATAAAATCACACAGGAAAAGGGGAACAATGGAGCACCTTAGCTTTCGTACAAGTACAATATTAGAACAGCATCTGAAAGCAGTGCACTTTTCGTTCATATAAGCAACAATAATCATCCCATTGATTGGGAAAACTGTTCAGAAGTGTATATATCATCATGTGTCACAGAAAGACTTCTGGTTGAAGCAAGTTTGATTAGAGAATTGAATTCTATAAACCTTAGTTATGGTGTGTGTACAAAACTGATAATATGTTACACAAATTTATTTGTCAGTGGCCCGAGGTTAAAAATGTTTTGAAAGCATTCGAGGTAGATGTAGGTTAGATGATTAGTGGGTCGCATATTTTTGACCTGACTTAACATGACTGGTTACGTCGCCCTTTCTTTTAAGTTCCTCTTTGCGGTGTGTTGGTGTGTGGATTAGTGGATGTCATGTTTTTGACCTGATCTCATGTTTTGTATGGTCACCCTGTGTACATAAGCCTCTCTCAGTCCTTGTAATTCAGTTGCCTCTGAAGATGTCTTGAATAAAGATGAAAGCTAAGGTGCTCCATTGTTTCCCCTTTTCCTGTTTTTTTTATTTGTTGGCCATTTCGCTTATCGGCTATATCAGCCGAAGCAGCTGTCTATTCTCTTCTGTCTTATTCTTACTCCTTCTTTCTTAACAAAGATCGCATGTTTTCTACGGGTACAATACCCATGGTACTCATGTTTCCTCCTGCACTAACACCGGGCAATGAATGTCGTAACACAGTAACAAAGAACAAACCACCCAAAAACCTAGTAAATGGGTAAGTGGTGAAATGTTGAGAGATTTTTAATAATAATAATAATAATAACAATAATTTCCTCAGGGTAAGCCTGGTATCCCTGGTGAAGTCGGTTCCAACGGAGATGTTGGCCCAGTTGGTCCTATGGGTATGAAAGGTGACCGAGGTCCTGTTGGCCCACCCGGACCTATCACTACCGTGGTCCAGCCAGATGGTACCAACATTACCGTCGTCAAGGTCAGTGTGTCAATGTCCAGAGACTCCAGTTTTTTTCTGGTAATGCCATGAGAAATTACAACCTCAGTCAGAATTTCTAGAATAACACAAAAATTACAGTGAATAGCTTATAATTTATTCGCCGACAAGTCTACCACAGAATTATAATATTACAGGTATTTTGTAAATTGATTAATCAATGACCTTTAGATTTATTAAAGGAATATTTGACAATTTAGATTAATTTTGTATATAACTAGATGGTATCAAATTATATATAAAATGTGCTGACTAGTTATTATTACGAAATTAAAAATATAAAATGCACCAGATAGTGTCTGCCGTTGCCTTTTAGAAACAAGTTGAGTAAGTTTCATGATCATTAATAAAAAGACACAATTTGTAATGTTCATTAACAAATAAAAGAATTCGTGGTAAGCTGTGTCATTGTGTGGCCCTAAAGCTACTGCTCTGCCGACCAGTCACTGCTAACTGGGACAAATTTACAATCGCAATCAATATTTATTTAACTGGGAGCTCCCTCACCACCCAATTATGTTTATAGTTAGTTGACTGGTCTCCCATACACTTCTCAATGATTAGCTTTGTATACATAATTTTCTTAATATAACAATCTCATTCAACTCATTGTCTTGTTCTGAACATTACACTCGTTACTCGTCAGCCTGCAGTATATGATTATTTTCAGTTTACCACAACTTTCCTTTTTATCAGTTGGAAATATCTCTCATCACATTATTTCTTGGACATAATGAACGTCATAAGTCTGTCATTTGTTAAAATACTGCATTTGTTATTACATGACAGAGTTAACAGTTTGTCACTTACCATAACAAAATATGTCGCTGCAATATGACAATTAATCCAATTTTTTGTAAATAATATTATCACGAAACAAGACGATTTCTTTTATCAACACACCCTACACATATTTCCCAGCTGTTCAGTATCATAATCTTTGTTGCTCTTACAACACAACTCAACACAAATTCAAATAATGAATATTTTTTTTATGTGCAGTGGAAATTTGGCCCAGTTACAGAATTGCTACAGCATCATGGCTGCCAAACAGCTTCTTATTAACTCTTCTTTGGGGGAAGGTCTTCAGCCCTTCGATCTTAACACTTTCAGGGCTACCTCCACCTATAGGGCCCAGCCCTAGAGTGTCCATCTCCATTTACATTATAAAGACGCACCCTCCACTTTCATGTTTACCTTTTCGTGTCAAGAATTTGGGTCTCTGTGCCCCCATAATTATATACGAATGAAGCAAATCTTTTGCATAGATACAATAATTATATACAGGCTTGGAGTTCCCCTTTTGAATATGATACACCCTACAGAAGTAAGATGAGTTTATAATTATATTGCGCTGCAGGTTAATCTGCCGTGGTTATGATGTGCACGAAGTAAATATAGCGCCCTTTTTGTATTGTGGTAGATTTGTGGTAGATAGGCTGGACCTCTAGCAGGCCTAAGACCCATTTGTGGTTATGATACAATGCTGCACTTACACTGGATTTCGATAGTTTAATGTGACTGTGAGTTAGCTGTGGTTAATTTTGTTCAGAAGCCGTAGCCAGGATGTCCCTGTGACACATGTGCATCTACTGTAGCGATCAGGCATGGGTACGAAGGTATGCCTCTGGCTTCGAAGCCGAAGTTGAAGCTAAAGCCAAGGTTTTTCAAGGCTTCGTGAAACCTGAACACCATTATTTATAAAATATACTGTATTACTTTATTTTGATGGGAATATGTGTGGTAGTTATTTTAAGTTGCAGCAAGGCTTTGAGATAAGTTGAATTTATTTTAAGCTGATTGTTCTTGGAGTAAGTTTTTACTCTCGTTATAGGCTGAAAAAGGTTACTTATAGTAACAATTTATTTTACTAAATTATTTTATTCACAATACATAAACATAGTAATTTACATCACAAATCATAAAGAACCGTGGAACGAATTACGATATGATTTTCAAAGGTAGAAAACGGGCTAATGTCAGTCACAACCATTTGGTATCTTTAATCTCTTCCGAAATTCAACAGCGATAACTTGTGATGTCAGTATGTATCTCAGTTCATGTAAAGTCAGCTCAAGGTCACATGATTGACTCACATATGACCTGACCTCACCTAAAGTTTACCCTCCCCGGCATTGCCTGGGGTGGAAATCTGATTTGATTGACCTGTGACAATATGTTCTCGTGTCGGCACTGATCACTGATATGCTGGTCAGTAATTTCGGCACCGACACGACAACCCATGTTACAGTACTTGTCAAGTTGGGTCAAAAGTGCGCCGCCTTGGATCAGGCACTAATATCATAAATTTATTTAATATGATCTAAATACAATTATATAATACGGTCAGTGTATCTGTGTAAAAATGTGGCTTCGAAGCCGAGCCAGGTCCAAAAAGAAGGCTTCTAAAAGTCGAAGCCGGCTTCTGCCCAATGCTTGGAGATATGGTGCACTTGTTGTGGCTGAGACAAACTTGAGGTGCATTGTTGTATGATGGATCTGTTGTGGTTAATAAGTAGGACTACTAGCGAAATTCTTCAGTTGTCGTCTGTGTCTCCAGGAACTCGTGTCTCAAGATATAACATAAGAACATAAGAATGGAGGAAACTGCAGTGGGCCTATTGGCCCATACTGGGCAGTCCCATCTACACCCAACCCCTATTGCTCATATTAGCATCCAACCTATGTTTGAAGCTATCCAGCATATTCGAGTTAATGATGAGATTTGTTAACTTGTTCCACTCATCCACTACTCTATTTCCAAACCAACGTTTACCTATTTCGCGCCTAAATCTAAATTTGTCTAATTTAAAACCATTGTTCTCTCCTCGTTGGATAGTTTGAGTACCTTTGTAATGTCCCCTTTGTTTAGCCCTGACTTCCATTTATACACCTCTATAATGTCGCCCCTCACTCTACGTCTCTCGAGGAAGTGCAAATTAAGACGCTTTAACCTGTCTCTGTACTCAAGGTTCCTAATGCCCGGGATTAGTCTTGTCATTCTCCTCTGAATTCTTTCCAAGGATTCTATATCCATTCTGTAATACGGTGACTAGAAATGAACTGCATAATCCAAGTGAGGTCTCACAAGCACAAGATATAGTCTTAAGATGACCTCACTAGTCTTGTAACTAACACTTCTTTGTATGAACCCAAGTACTTTATTATCCTTTTTTTGAGCAAAAATACTTATCATTACTCCTAAATCTCTCTCAGTCGGATTTCTCAATAACATCGTTGTTCATCTGGTATCTGGTTTCCCTGATTACATCTCCTGTACTGAGTACTTTACATTTGTCCACATTGAATTTCATCTGCCATTTTTCAGACCATTCGAAAATTTTTTGTAGATCTTCCTCTAGTTTTGCGGAGTCCTCGTCAGAGTTAATTGCACGTCCTATTTTAGTGTCATCAGCAAATTTACTTATATTACTGTCTATGCCGATATCTACATTGTTTATGTATATAATAAATAATAATGGTCCAAGTACTGAGCCTTGGGGAACTCCACTATTGACGTTGCTCCAATGCGATTTAGTGCCGTTAATGCTCACTCGCTGTTTCCTGTCCTGTAACCACTCCCTAATCCATTTTAGAATATCACCTTTAATGCCACGAGCTTCTACTTTTCTTATTAGTCTTCACCTTCACTGTGGTCCATTAGGTGATGAAACCCATTATTTGCTTAGACTCTACCTTACACAGAATAACACTAGGAAACTTTCGAAAAAATAATAATGATATAATTTCTACGAGGATCACTCTAATTCAAAATTTTATCACACTTCTTAAACCATTTACTGAAAGAAACACCAATTGGTAAATTCAGAAGGACGTGCCCCTAAATGCTCGTGTAAGTGACCAGAGGAAATGGCCGCCGTGGATCGTTGTGTTGTGGGGGAAGAGGGGCGGAATGTGAGGACCCTGGCTACTCTGGCGGCTGGGCTGGAGCGAGCTGATGACAAGCAAGGAGAAAGAAGCCTCAGGGATTGAACTCAGGGTGACCTGCCTATCAGGACACCCAAGGAGGAACAGGCGTGAGAGTGGTTGCTTCCTAAGAGGAATAGGGGCCCAGACCCAGGAAAGCTGACCAGGGTGGAGTGCACCCTACCATTTGTTGGAGGTGAAGCCAAGAGAGGAGAAGGAAGTGGGGGATGAGGAGAAGAGGCAGGACGAGGAGGAGAGAGGCCGACAACAAAGCTAGGAGAGAAAAGGCAGATGTTCGGACCTGCCCAATAGTAAGGTCGTGGCTGCTAGAAGCAGCCAGGGTGAGGTTCTTGGATAGGACTTTTGTGCAAGAGAGAGGAAACGAGGGACTAGGTGTTTTCTGGGCTGAGTAGTATGCAGACTGGGGAGGACAGATAGGTTTTGCCAGGAGGCAACAACCAGTAGGAAAACCAGAGGGAGGAATGACAGGAAAGGTTAGGAGGAGTGTCCTCAGACGTGATAGGGAGGCGCCAAAGGCTCGAGATAGGAGGGATCCTGTATACGGCCCTTGCCTTGGTTTAATATTGTCCAGGCAATTGCCATAAATCAATTAGAAAAACATTTGTGAAACACAATGGTTACGTTTCATTGATAACTGACAACCATTCTACACAACGATTGGCCTGTACAGCTTCACAGAGTACACTTGTCTCCGGCAGGGGTAAAGACGTTGTCTGCATCCCCTGGGAGCCTGGAAATTACCCAACACACAGCAGAGAGAGGTCAGGTAAGAGGGACTCAAAAACAGTCCTAGGAGTAAATTGCTAGCCCAGGACACAAAAGAGGACTGGAAAGAAATAAACATACTATACAAATAGCAGGAGTGTTAGATATAAAATGGACTTGCTGGAGAGTGGCTGTATACCCAGAACAGACGCTACAGCAATCATCAAATCCTATTGAATCTGGCGAGCAAGAACTTTTTTACCAGAGTACCACATAGAAGGGCATGTCCTGGGAAGGTAGGAAGTGTGTGGAGGCTGCACTATCGGGGT